AGGAAGCTGCATTTGTACTCCAGTTAACAGGAGACCACCGAAAACTTTCAAACAGCAGAGGGACTACAGTCTGGAGTTGAAAGCCATTACCGTGGTCGGGGTTGGTTGCTACAGTAAGTGTGAGGCCAGCCTGGGCTATGGAAGACATGCTGGGTAGGAGCAGGGGAAGGAGGAAGAGGAGGAGGAAGGAGATGGAAAAATCGGTCTGAAGCTGAAGCTGAAGCTGAACCCTAAGTAGCAGCATTATAGGGGAGAGACCACCCGAAAAAGAAGCAAAAAGGTCATAACAGGAAGTAAAGTCAAGGGCAAGTGACGGGCTGTCCATGCAGTGGAAGTGAAAAGACGAGCCAGTCCTCTCGCAGCTCCGCATCCACAGCTAACCCTGTTTGGGTGCCAGGAACAGTCTCAAAGTTCGTTTGGGCCCAGTCTTGAAGCCTGTCACAGCTTCACTGGCGGCCCACAGTCTGACACTAAAAGATGATTTTTTTTTTTTTTTGGCAAAATGCCTTACATCCACCTCCCCGTTCCTCCGGACCAGCTGGGCCTCAGCAGTGGCAGCCGCCGTGGCCCCCTCCTCTCACCAATGGGCCTTTCCCTCTTTCTTGTGCCTGGCTTTTCCATACTACCTTCCCTGGACTTCTCCCCAAACTGCCAGAAAGAACTTGGAAAGGTAAGACATGCTTCCACCATGTCCTTGGAGGACTTTTTGGTGTCTCCTCAGCGGCAAAGTGTCGAGGCTGAGGTCTGTGGTCGGAGTCACTGCAGCAACTGCCTGTAAGGAGGAGTAAAAGGCAGGGCTCACTAACGTGGGTGGTATCACACTAAGAGCAGAGAACCCCTTAGGAATGGCCAGCCCTCCTCTTCTGAAGCTAAGAGGTTTTATAATAAATGGCTAATGTTTGAGTCTGGGCTTTTCAAACTTTTTTATTTCATATTTTTAAGATTTATTTATTTGCATTTTGTATGCTTGTTTTGCCTCTGTATGCATGTTTGATGCCCATAGAGGCCAAGGGAAGGCGCTGGGTACCCTGGAATGAGTTACAGACAGTTCCTTGCCACGGGGAACCAGGTCCTGTGCAGGCAGGGGGTTCTAACTGCGGCTGTCTCTCCAGCCATGAGTGGAGCTTATGGGAGGATTTTCCCAGGTGCTTTCCCTGTCTGAAGCAATCACACGGACAGCACCGAGCTGGATCGGCCATACTGCCTTCGTTTTGGCACAGGGAGACGTGCTTAGAATGCCCAGCTGAGTTCCACCAGAACTCTGTCTACTCCTTGACAGACCTGAGATCTGAGCCTGAGTCATCTGACTCCAAAGTCACCTACCGTCATCACCAACAGGAACTGCATTTCCTTTGTGTATCAAGCCTTGTGGTATACTGAGGAAGGCCTGGCTGTTTTCATGCTGTTGATGTCTATATTTTTATATGCATAACAGACAGATGTTTTCCAATATTTTTTCATATGCAGTTTTATATGAAGAAAAATTTTATATTAAAGGTGTATGCATACATGATGTGATTTCCAAGATTCTGTAAGCACTACTACAGCCAGCACAATAATTTGTTTTCTGGTAAGGAGAAGGGCTGGACTGGAACTCAGTGCAGTGCTAGGGCTATTTGCCTTGTAAGCATGGTATCCTGGGTGTGACGCAGACTTCCCAGGGACTCCACATCAGAATAAAGAGATAGGGCCTGGAGAGTTAGCTCAGCGGCTAAGCGCACTGTCTGCTCTTCCAGGGGACCTGGGTTCAATTCCCATCATCCACATGGCAGCTCACAGCTGTCCGTAACTCCAGTCCAAAGGACCTGACACCCTCATAGCATAACACCAATGTACATAATAATAAACAAATTATTTTTATAAAAGAATAAGGGGCCTCATCAGGGTCTCGATTCTGATGGCCAGAGGCTCTGGTGTCACTTCAACAAGGACACAGGTTTGGCAGGCCTATGGGCTCCTGTCCTAGCCTTTCATAATCATGAGGCCAGCAGAGAGAAGCGATGTGTCCAGCAAGCTGGTCCAAGCTGAGCTCACCAAAGGCGCCTGCAGGGGCTTAGAGCAAACGTGACTCCTCTCCCTCTGCAGCAGCATGACACTTATTCAAGTAAAGCCGTGTGAGAGGTAATGATTTCCATGTATGAAGAGGCATTGAGTTACTATGTGTAGCCAAAGAAGCTCTAAACTGGGTCAGAAAGGGAGACCAACTTGTTTGACAAACATTGACTGTATTTCTGTGAGCTCCTAGTCCGAGAGCCACAGGCTGGAGATGCTGAGGCGGAGTCTGCTGCCTCAGGCACTGGCTCTCAGGTGTGAGCAGGTGAGACCCTCTCTGGAAGCTTGTTTAAACACAGCCAGGGCCTAGGGAGAGGGCTCAGCCAGGAAGTACTTGCCACACAAGCCTAAGGACCTGGGTTTGAATCCTGGGACCCGAGTGAAGGGCCTCGTGCAACCACACGCTCCTCAAAAGGATCTCTGGAGCACACTGGCCTTCCAACGGTGTTGAAGCTGTACCCTTCACATTCGTGTGAAATTGTCTCAGAAAAGTAGGGTGGAAAGTGACCTCTGGCCTGCACGGATGCATGCATACACACACACACACACACACACACACACACACACACACAGCACACCCCCAAACTTCTGATTCCTCAAATAGGGACAGAGTTGGGTCACTAAAGAGGTTGACACAGGTGTTATTGAAATTGTATCTTGGAAAACTTTGACCTAGTCAAGCTTAAGTTCTGATCAGCTAAATCAAGTTCCTTAGACTTGGGATGTCTGGGAGTTAGAAGTGTGTGACCTGAAAATCCTTAAGGCCTCTCTAAGGCCTTTTAGAATGGGCCGGCAACATAGCAATAAGATCCACAGGCTCAGGCTGGAGAGGTGGCTCAGCGGTTAAGAGCACTGTCTGTTCTTCTAGAAAACCCGGGTTCAACTCCCAGCACCCATATGGTGGCTCACAACTGTCTGTAACACCAGTTCCAATGGATCTGACACCTCCATGCTAATGTACATAAAAAATAAAAGAAAAAAAGAAGAAGAAGAACTGGCTCAAGATCTATGGGCTCTTTCCAACAAGGGAAAAGTCAGAGTGTTCACAAATGAGTTGAGCCAGAAGAGAAACAAAGCAAAGGGGTTTCACTGGAACAAGTCAGGAGTGTGTGTGTGTGTGTGTGTGTGTGTGTGTGTGTGTGTGTGTACCTTTATTTTTCAGCCCTGAAGAGTGGGTCACTGCTGCTTATGAGAAGCAGCACATCTGGTTGGGAACTGGGTCTACTGGAAATGTGTGTCACAAGTGTCCCTAAGCACAGCCACAGGGTCGGGGGTGGGAAGGAGCTCCCTTTCCTCTCTGCAACGGTGGGTGATTCTGTGTGCAGGCCTGGGAATGGTACTCCTCTTAGCAGCCCTGCCCAAGCTGCCCCTGCACCCCCAGCAGCCTCCCACCTTCCTCCTGGTGAAGCCAGCTGCTGTCACAGAGGCCACCTGCCTCTTCCCTGGCCTAGGAGTCTCAAGTTCCAGAAAGCAAGGCAGCTTGTGGGAGGCTACTGCCGAAAGAGGGAAACAAGACAGGAACTAAAATTAAATGGATTGTCTGCACACTTTTTTTTTTTAAATTAAACTGTGATTCATTTTCAGGGAAGAAGAGGCCCTTTGGGAACAATTGTGGCCCTGAGTGCCAGGCGCCAAGCTTAGCAGCTCGTCAAGCTTAGCAGCTCTGCCCAGAGCTGGGGGCGTAGGGAGGTGACAGGAGAGGCAGGGATGGGGTCCTTCCCTTCTAGGGAAAGGAAAGCAGGGTGGGCAGGGTTGGAAGGAGAGAGCTGGGAAGACCCCCCAGGATATGGCAGAGGGGCCAAGCTGGGGACCCTGAGGCTGGGATTTTGTGTTTTCTTTCGTTCTGTAAGATTATGCCACCTTCTCCCTCCCTGTCTTATCCCAGGAGGCCCAGCACCAGCCAGCTTTGATGGTGAGACAGAGCCACCCACAGCCTTGGTTTGGGGCAGCCATGGTAGGGGAAAATGGAGTCTGGGAGAAAGAGAGGGGGGAGAGTGAGGAAAAGAGGCAGAGGAGAGAGAGAGAGAGAAAGGGGGAGAGGGAGAGAGGGAGAGAAAAAGAGAGGGGGAGAATGAGGAAGAGATGCAAAGGAGAGAGGGGAAAGGAGAGAGAGGGAGGGAGAAAGGGAAAGAGGAGCTCTTAGGTTGTGAGGCTGACTTGAAAGCTAAACTGAGAGACTGAACTGTGTGTGGGCTGTTGCTCTGATGTCAGCAGAACCCAGAACTTGAGACACGCCCCCAGTCCCCCCTAGTCACTCAAGGATCTGCTGTCCACACTGACACCCCTCCCTGCCTTTGGATTCTTCCACGGGTGGGGGGAGGTATGACACAGCATATGAATTGGGGCTCAGGGACTGGCTTGCAAACCAAGGAACTGTGGTGCCTGCACTAGAGGGTGGAGATGCCACCACGCCCACTACCAGCACCTTCCCCCAAGCCCAGACTGCGCAGCCTGCATCCAGGGCCAGCCTGTCCTAGGCGGATGAAGGAGAGCTTCCGCCCCATGCATGCACAGAGAAGTTAATGCCTACTTCATTTTCTTCTGTCCTCAAAGTTTCTGTTTAACAGCCAAGAGATGTTTAAGTCACAAGAAATTAACTAAAATCTTGTGTGTTCGGGACCACGTATTTGCACAAATGTAGTAGGTGGAGAGTTGGGAGACAGAAAGTTGTGCGGAACGGAGAGGAAGACCCTGAGGAGCCCATATTTTGGACAAAGAAGGGGAGACTGAAAAGAACTCAGGAGCAAATGAGGGTCTCCTTGGGGACAGAGCCATGCCCCCCACCCATCCTGGAAAGCCAATTGTCTCTCCTGTGGCCAACCATCCTCTCTGAACCCTAGACTCATCGTTTGCTGGGCCTTTCTCCTTCCTTTTTTTTTTTTTTTTTCCTTTTGGAGTGTGTGGGGGAGTGTTGTGATTTTTTTAATCTTTCAAATATAAAACAGAAATACACTTTATCATCATAGATATATTTTTTTCACTCTCACCACATAAATACAAAAACATCCAAAGAGCCAAGACATCCAGAACACAATTAGTAGCCAGGATTCAGTGACACTACCTGCGTTTGAATAATTTGTTATTTTCTTCCCTATTTGCTGAGAGAGAGAGAACAAAAAGAAAGAAAATTAAGCAAGCAAAGAAATGGAAAAATGAAAAGGGAAAACCTCAGATGTAAATACTTTACAATAAAGTTACTTTGTTAACGTTCTGCGCTTGTTTCAGACGGGCGGATACATTCTACACTGAGGCTGCTCGCACTCTGGGTCTGTGGTTTTGGTTAAATCGTGCGAGGTGGTGGCTGTGGGGACAGAGAGGGTTGGGGCCGCACCCGCGTGGTGGGAAGGGTTCTAAGTCGGGGTGGCTGCCACCGGAGGTTGAGAAGGGAGAGGAAATGCGTGTCCTGGCTGCCACACAAGGAACCACTGGCCAATGAAGGCCTGACTGCCAGGCACCCATCCTGTCCTCCGGCAAACAACTGCTGGGAAATCCCGGAGCTTCCTGCTCCTCGGTGAAAAGCCGGCATAAACACAGGGGTTCAGGAGGTGAGCAATAGCTGTTGATTTAATTCTGACCCCAGCTATTCCGCAGTAGCTTCGTTCTGGGAGACCCTGGAGGGAAGAAAGCCCCCAGCCACTGCGCTGGGAGGAGCAGGAGCCGTGGGCCACCGCCCGCACAGCCTCGGAAGAGGAGAGTGAGTCTTCTGTCGTTGGAGTCATCGGCTTTGCTTCTCCTCTTAAGTTCCTGTCTAAAGTCACAGCACTCGGGATTTTGATTTCCACGACCCTGTGATGCATTCTCTAGTCCGAATTTCTCACACCCTGCAAACTCAACTATTTCTGTGTGTTCAAAAACAGGTGCCCATCTGGTTTTACGTAACAATTACTCTTGCTTTATTGCTTGCTGTTAGATCAAATTTATTACCACCTTCGCCGAACAAGACAAATTAATTTATCGTGATTTATCGCGTCTCAGGGTCGGGGAGCCTGCGATCGGAGCTTTCCTAAGGGGAATAAAACTCATCAGCTCTGTTCTGGGCAGTTGCTGCTCGCTCGTGCACCAAGGATTCCGAGAACTCTAAAACTCGAAGCCAGGAGCCCCCAGAATCCTGGCTTCTCTGACAAGAAGAGAGAGGAAGCTCTTTCAGTCCCTGGCGGTCTGTGAACGCAGTTCCTCTTCCGAATACCCTTAGGAGCAGTGCGCAGCGCCCTGTCCAGAGCAGGGGTCCCGGGCCTGGACCGCTGTTACTTCCTGGCTGGCAGGGCTGGGGGTGGCTAATTCGGGTATTTCTCCCCAATTCTTTGGATCATTCCTGGATTCAGGCGGAAACCGGGGTTGGCGGGAGGAAGAAAGAGTAGAGAGAACAAAACCAGCCCAAGTGAGCCGGAACCGGTGGCCGGCGGGCTGGGTGAGGGAGCAGTCAGAGGCCGGCGGGCCGGGCCGGGGAGGCCAGCGCAGAAGCCTGGGCGCCCAAGGCGCGAGTCCATAAATACCACCACACTGGGTGTGATAAATATAAGTACAGGCGACACTTAAGTCAGTCCAGCGCCTTTTTCTCGGCCCCTTCTTTACTGTTGGTCCGGGAGTAAGGCTCGAAGGCCGAGGAGCTCAGGTACCGGGCCGAGAGTTCTTGCAAATTCCCGGCTAGCGAGCCAGCCATGGCCAGCGGGGCCGAGGACAGGCGGCTGGACTGACTTAAGTGTCGCCTGTACTTATATTTATC